AGTTTCTAATAAATGCTATATACTGTTACTGCTAATCAGCGAATTTTAAATACTTGGTTATGAAAATTTATTGAGTTTCAATAATATAAATTGAAGTAATGAATTACGTGACAGCCGTTATCCGACTGATTTAATCTCATCTGGTTTCTGAATTGAGAACTTAAAGTTAAGCACGCCTCAGACCGCACTTAAGCCATTTTAAACAAGTTTTCGTTTCTTTTATTTTAGATTTTATTTTTTTGATAGCAGTTTGATAAAACAAAGACATTTTGCCATGTATAACTCGTAAATCTTAAGTTTGTGAGAATAATCAGTTGAGATTTTGTACTTTCTTATTTCTGAAACCAGCTGAATAAGTGAGTAGGTATAATTTTATTTGAAAAAAACCCATAAGTCGTAAAGTGCGAATTAAATTCGTATCCAGCACATAGCTACAATGTCTTTTTGTATTGATATTTACTTATTAATATTTGATATTGGTAACATTTATGTTGTACTACACTCTGAGTTAACTAAGACAGATTGTCTTAGTTAACTCAGAGTTTGGGTTTGTTTAGAAGTTATTCCGTAAACAGTCAGATGTATATGATCTAAGAATTATAAATTAGGTATACCTTTACCTTTATGATCATGATTTTTCTACTGTTTTCTTAAATAACATTGAAAATGTAGTTTCACAGAGTAAACTTTTTATTCTAGTAATTGCAACACTCTCGATAATATTGTAAAAAGGTAAAAGTAAATGAGACTAAGTTTTATTATCACCTATCGCTCGTAACTCGTTCGGCATTTAATGTCTATGCCCTATTTGGTATCCAAGGCCACCAGTTGCGTAACGTTTATATTTTGAGGCGTGATCTGTTGCTTATTGATGATGGCAACTGAACTATACCGAGCTGACGATATAACTGTCAAATAATAAAGACACATCATAATTAGCACTCGATCATCTGTCCTGAACGATGAAACATTGACCGAATATTAATTGTTTCTCAGAATACATATAATCAGAGTCATTTTCATTTTCATCAGAATATAATAAGTTAAAACATAGCTTATCTGTGAAAGGCAATTCGCTGAAAAACTGTTTAAGAAATATTTTAAAATAAAGGCATCATATTTACTTCAAATATCTTAAGATAAAAATATTGGGAAGGTATTTGGAGTATAACGGATATTTAAAAATTAACTACTTATGGGTAAGTAAATATGCTAAAGATTATTTTTACACAATTGCCAAAAAAGGGTGTATTGTGTTTTAAATGGGTTATTTTAAATTAAAATAAGTCTATGGCAGTATACTCTATACTTATAATAAAGCCGAAGAGTTTGTTTGTTAGTTTGATTAAACCCTAAAATCTCAGGAACTATTGGGACGAATTGAATTATTGTTTTTATGTTGAATAGTCCACTTATCGAGGATGGCTTTAAGTTATACAACATCAAGTTATGATTTATAGGAGAGGGGCAGCAATGAAAAATGTTACAAAACCGGGAGACTATTTTACTTTTTTAAAGCTTTACATGCGTGCGCTGGGTTAACGGTGAAAGTTACGCAAGAATCATGTATTACGAAATTGATCCTCTTTAAAAGTTATAAAAAAGTCCGCTTCAGCATATGTCTATCTTAAAACACATAAAGAGATGAAAATGGGAGTGGAAGTTCGTATAGGGCATTAAATTGTTACCAATGACCTTTGTTTGTCAATTAAATTTGTCATTTTAATTATATTCCATGGCATCCTTTTACAGATCCATAATCGGCACAATCTTTGTCGCTAATATTACATTTCGTCTGCCTCTACTGAGCTAGATGACGCTACTGTACTTTTAAAACGGGATCGTAATTTTTATTCTTTATTTTTTGCCGATTTTTATCAAACAAAGTAACTTTCGTTTTTAATTTTGCGATATTTCTAATAACATAATTTAATAGTGAATTGTTAATTATACGAAAAAAAATATGTTACATTTAGTTGTCGCCACTGATCTCTAGATGACGCTACTGTACTTTTCAAACAGGTTGTTGATAAATGGTTTAATTCAATAAATGAGTTTTTAAATAAAATATATTATTTGGAACATTTCAAGTGAATGGCATATAATACATATTTAAATTATTTCATGCTGTTTAACAGTATAATATGAGATACTTATATTGTTTTCTTTAATTTAGTAGTTGGTTAGAGTATCTATATTTCCATAACCTTTGCGTTATGTTTAAAAAAGAATTATACCTTTTTTTAGCTTCCCAAATTAATTTTAATATTTTTCTTAACTTACGTTCAAGTCAAATAATTCTAAAAGCTAAATAGGTTTTGATTATTTAGGTCTACTAAAGTAGTTGAACATTAATTTATTTTTTGTGCTTAAATAAAGTAAATAGCTTTTTTTTAATGTGATTTATTTACAAAATAATCTCGTTCAAAAATTCACGTTTGTTGTATGAGAGACCAAATAAATATTTATTTTATGCTTTTAATGTTTTTGTTTTTGTTTTTCGTTACAGCGGCAACAGAATTACATCATCTGGGAAAATTTTAACTGTCTAACTATCATGGTTTGTGGGATACAGTCATATGATGGTAACCGCAAAAAATCGCGTTTGTTTTATGGGAGAGTTGATGTTAAATCATCTGTGAAAAATTCAACTGTCAAATTTTCACGGCTAATGTGATACAGTTTGGTGACAAACAGAAAGACGAGTCTTATTAATAGGGTTGTCGTTTTACCATTTGGGTACGGAACCCTATAAATTAAAGATGCTACCGAAAGTCACTATTCCACGCGGTCGAAGTCGCAGGCAAAGCTAGTTAATAATATTTTGGTACATACGCCAGCAATAGTTCAAAAACATACCTACTATACCGTTTTTACAGAGGTTTAATACTCTAATAATTTAATAATTGTCATTAATTTAAAACGACATTACCCATACATATCTGACATTCATTAGAGCTTAAAGGCATCATTAAACCTTAATAGACGTTTGTGCAACTGACCGTAGGTAAGCGTACCTATTTATCTATTGATATCATCAATTCTCTTATAAACCATTAAATTCTGTAAACTCGTTTTACCATGTTTGTTTATTACACAAATATAATTCGTTCTTACTATTCGTGCCTTAAAAAATTGTTGGTTGCCAGATTAAAATATCAAAAGTTCGGAGAAAAGGCCCCCTTCAATTGAAAAATTCTAAGATTTTGTTGCAGTTGACACTTTTCACTTTTTAACCCCCTCTCCCCCTTGGTGATACATAGTGAAGTTTAAGACTAACCCCCTCTCTTCCACCCAAACTTCAAGTATTTTTAGTACCTACAAAAAATATTAATTTTTGTGGCTTTGTGGCCAATCATGGCTATAAAAAAGTTTTATTGAATTCATCAAGTATCATTTTTGTTTTCTTTTATTAACATTATAGTTAATATTAATTTTTAGGAGTTATGATTGTTTCAATTTTCTGAATAGTTGAATTAAAAAAAAAACTATTTTAAAACTGTAATGAACCAAAATATTCGATTGAATATATAAACGAAATAAAACATATATCTAGTTGGAAAATAATATTAAGACATTCATTGAGAATATCAATAAAAAAGTAACTAGAGCAGTCCCTAATTACTGAAAATAAGTACAAAAACTTAAACGCGACTTCAGCTAAAGCATGCTCTAAAAAGTTTGTGACAAATTTATTTTATAGCGATAGCTATATTATAATAGCGATGACCAAAGGACAGTGTAGTAGTATGCCATAACAGTGTTTTGTCATAATCAGTGGCATACACAGAACACAGAAAAGAGGTATACGATGTTACGATACATTACGATGAGTACTTTCAAAGTTATAAGTGGCATTCTTACATACATACCGGCCAAAATCATAACTCTCTTTTTCACTTCGCCGTAGTTTGTTAAAAATAAGAGCTAAAATGATAGGTAGGTATAATCCATAAATAAAACGTTATTGTTGTTTTTATCACCTGAATATGTTCAAGTAATTCTTTGATAACGATATGATTTTTTATATATTTAATCAATGAATGTAGTTTATCCTCCAATTGAAAAGCTAAACCTAAAATAAGGCACTAGTTGCTTTACATATTTATATTATAATATCCTAATAGCGCCCTCTAAGTGTAAACACTAAAAGTGTAATATTTAGTCTCGCTACTCATCGACAGATGTCGCATAACGAATATGTTCCACTACGATAAAAACTTAAATGTTTATGGTTCTAGAAACAATCATAGGTGGCGTGACTATGTTCAATTCTATTTTTAAACGTTTCTTTATGATTAATTCTTGTTTACGTTAGTTATTCATATTAACTACTTACATTAATCTTATTATGTACGTTTTAGGAGATTATTTTATTCTTAATATTTATTTTATTGCAATTGCGCAACTTTGTCTGCCTTTGTAGCGCATAAATCTAAATTTAGTAACTCGCCAGGGTCGTCTCCAAAACATGTCACTGACCCTACAATAACGACATCCCTAACAAGGGTGAAGATTTAATGGGTGATTCTTTCAACGAGTACATATAGCATTTTGTTAACACAATTGCTATGAACACAGCCTCGCTTTGTTTGCATGATACTAAAGAGTCCACACCCCTAGAAAAGCACATAACCACCCGCCCATGAACCATTTAACGTTGACCCCTACCACCTTATTTCCCCTTATCAAGGGAAGTAACGAAAGACGTCTTCAGTACTAATTCACGGTTCTTGAGTCACTGGTAGAGCAAAACCTTGTATGTCCATCGACAGGTGTCCACGATCACGTCACCTACACAATTGAGTCGTAACCATAAGACTTAGGGCTAGTATTGCGCCGACCCCTGACGGGGATCTACCCTCGTTTCAGCTTAATTCGCTTCGAACCGCAATAAGGCGATGCGGGTAAAAAATATGACCTGGAGGCCTCTAATCTTGTTAAAGCCTTAGTGAAAAGGTTTGCTTATGTCGAGAGTTTACATTGAAAAATCTATAACCATGAATAACGGAAAAAAGAGACGTGACTCAGTGGCGACGGTTTATAAGAAAACGACAAAATTTTTGTCGTCTAACACCACAAATTTATTGAAGAAAATGCCTAATACTATTAAATACCGCTTACTAGATAGACTTATGGAAGAATATGATCATGACTCGAACCTCAAACAAGATGTTGCTAGAAATCAAACAGACGAAGAAGATGATGATATTGGTGAGAGAGATCTTGATTATTATTTAGGAGTTCGGAAAAAAGAAGTGTACTGGAGGGACCCTGAAGGGAAAGAACAAATTAGAAAAGACTTTTTCATCAACCATTGCGGAGTATCAGAAGAAGAATACTGTAAGAACTATCAACATATCAACAACATATCAAAAGAGAGCATCACACAGCCGAAGTTAAAACAAGTGCCTTTTAAAATTCATAAGAAAAGGAGTAAGAAAGATAATTTAAGAGAAGGTGATTCTTGGTGCGAAAAGAGCGGAATATTTAAACTCTTTACGCGTAGAGATAGCGAATACTCTACTTCTGATAGTTATAGTGAATACGAATCTAATGAGGAAATTAAAGTCACAAATGATGATAACGACATTGAATGTAAGCATGATCAAGGGAACACTAATGACGCGACAGGAAATTTCAATTACTTGAACATTTACACAAGTTTGAACGGTGTTTTAATATTAGAGGATTCAGAGGTCTGGATTGATAATTTGGGCTAATATAAAAACTAACAAATAAATTATGCATGTAGTATTGTTGTGATATGGTTTTTTTTTTTCATTACAGGGTGTTCGCATCAAAGAAGTCTCTGAAGGAAGGCCTTGTGACAACTGTCCAGAACTATGCCCTGGTTTCATTCCACATGCTTGGAGGTAAGAGACATAAACCGACGTCCATTATAAGTGAGACAGACATATGTATAGGTTGAAAAAGACCTATATACCAAAATATTTAGAAAATACATAAAATCATTTATGGCATTGTATTTATTATCATTTCTTATTGAATTATATTTAATATCGAAACTTGGATATTTACTCATTTAAACTTATTATTTGCCTATAAACTGTTTTTCTAAGAAACCATAACATTAGTAAGTACTTAAAATATCGTTAAAGAACTTAAATTATAGTTAATAATATAACGCGTTCGTTATCGTTATACATATTTGAAACTAATGTCTATTTGTCCGGGTCAGAGCGTTGTACTGATAAACTATCAGTTTTAACTTTCATTCAATCCTTAAACATCGCGTTGTTTGCACGTGAAGTGGTTAAAACTATGATAATCGAACAGCCTTGCACTCTTCGTCCTAAGGTCATCGTCGCAAGCGCCTATCAAGCATAATATTATTCGCAATTCGCCATTGTCATACGATCGCTACTTGAGTGCGGTCGTGTCGCTTACAAAACAATTTAGCGCGACCTCGATATGTGTCTATCACTGAAACAATTGGAGTGGGCGGAGCTGTGCAATCGAATAATTGGTAACGAAAAATCAACTGATGTCCCACAAAGAAAGATTCAGAAGTTCCCATCTCGTGAAAGGAATTATGCTTTTAGAAGGAGGAAAACTAATAATAATAACAATGCCCGCGCTCACGCAAATTGTCCCAGCTGTGCTAAGATCGCTCAAGAAGAAAACAATAGGTGATAGTGTAATGTTGTCGTGCTGTGAAAGTTATCAAATAAATATGAATATGCCGATATATTAAGACGTGTATAGACAAAATAAAACAGAATATCAATATTATTAAAAGTATCCGCGGAAAAATTATGTGTATTTTTGTAAATATTTTGTCATCGAGTGTCTCGTGACGTCAGTCCCGGATATATCAAAATGTGTCAGAGAATTTTAAATTCTCAGTCTATAGCATGAAGTTCAAAATATATATACAAACAATTCTTGTTAACATTACATATTAATTAACATTAGATGGCAACACGTTAACCATTTTTCTTAGACATTTGGTGGTTTATTTGTTAGTTGAAATATAACATTATTATCTAAGTTTCAAGTTTGTTAATCATCATATATTCATATGTTTTTAGGAAAATTTTTGATTGCTTATTGTTTTAGTGTTAAATCAGTTTTGTGGTAAATTAAAGTACCAAACATACTTCATCTCAACAGAGTCACTAATTATCACAAAAACACTGTGACAATACTAAGATTTTTATTTATTGTAAATATCTGTAATATCGCAAGCTGTGTTTTTTATTATGATATTTCTGAAAACTTTCTTAAAAAAACTAATATTTTTTTGATTGATGATTCATTTTAACACAATTACAAGTTAAATATAAGATCGCATTAGAATTCTTTGTTATCAAGTTGTTTGAGTAAGTTTGCAACCCATTAGCTATAATATATTGTACTACTTAGATAGTTTGCATCTGTAAGTAGGTATATCGGTGTATTTGCTTATTTATGTTAACTTAGTAGGTATATTAAATAACAATTATACTTGCCATTATAGACATAGCAACATATATTTGAATATTTATAAGTATTACAACTAGCTTAAGCCTGTTGAATATATTAAAAATTATAGCAGTAACTTCTGGGTATTTCAATAGTAAATTCCCGACCACATGAGTGTCAACAAGGCAGCAACACAAGAAATAATACCCATATTATTTTCCGTAAACATCTTGAATGATAAAAAACTTACAAAACTGTGTAACGCATATTATGAACATGAATATAATTTATTCTTATTTGGCTTCTTGTTTTTTTAATTACTAAAATAAAGACTATTCAATCGTTTTATATATTCTTACACTAATAAATATTAAAAGCAACAAGCACAAAGTTGACTAAATTGAGATTTATTTAGACCAAACTGTGTTTGCAATTATGAAAATGACTAAGATAACAGTAGAACAATTTACTCTAGTTCATTTGAAACTCTGCACCGAAAACATTAAAGTTTAAAATCGAGTGGTGCAATTAGAAATATTTGTATACGTGCCATTGACTGTAGTTTGTAGTTGAACTTTAAACATCAGAGTCTTTTAATTAATATACTAAAAATAGATGAAAACATCCGAACAATAGCTTGCTACAATATTTAAGTGTGCTGTTTAAAACAAATTTAATGGAAGAAATACATTATGGTTGAATATCATATAGGTACTTTGTAATCTTGTTACTGTGATAAAAAATCATGTCACACTTTTTTTAAATGCACTGATAAATAATGGATCTTATCAATAACATTTATTGAAAGTGAGTCGAGTGTTATAGTTCTCAATAAACAAGAAAGGGTCTTCAGTAGAATGTATATAATAATGAAATAAAAATGCCAAAACAGAATAAAATATTTTTTTATACAAATAATTAAAATCTCACTCATTTATAAAAGGTACTAGATTCTCTTAAAGACTACAATCAATAAATAATTTATAGTTCATCATTACATTTATTATATTAAATGGGGTCATAACAAAAATGTTTGAGAAGCAATGACAAAGATTTTTAAATATATCACATAACACCTATTTCATTCAAATTATGGTAGATACCTTTATAACGTGTCCATTTCTACGTCTTAAAAACTTTCATAAATAAAGGAACTCTAACTTGATCTGTTTATACTTGGGATTGTGACTGAAGAACAATGATTTCGATTTGAACCTGACTCATACTGAAACATCATGAACACAAAGAAGCATTATTCTGTCAAGATTTACATCTTTTTTGTGATTTGGTTACTTCATAAACATATTTAAATGAGTAAACGAGTATTTTTTTACAATTTTTAGTGATTCAATTTAAATCAAGGTGGTAGATTTAGATAGGTATATTTTTACAAAATACCTATTTTAATAATAGGATTCGATGTCAAACAATGATGAAATTTTAAATAATTATTATTACTAAACTGCTTTTAAGATTACTTACTTCAATACTTAGAGAGGTAAATTATCTGAAATATAAAATCAATTGATCACTTTTTAGCATATATTAATATTATTATATTTTGATTACTTTTGCATTCACAATGCCATACTGAAAATTATTCTTAATACAAAATGCTTAAAAAATCCACTTGGTCCCTGGCACCCTGAGATGGGAATCGAACAATATATGAATATGTCCTCATAATAAACAAATAAGTAGGTGTATTAAAAGCATACTAACGCCACCTATTGTGCAGTAGCGTAACCTTTACAATGCAAAGAATGATTTATATTGTGTATGAAGTCAGCAGCACAACGTTATGCATAAAAGTTAGGAACATCTTTAATAGATGGAAGTAATAATTTTTGATTTTTGCATCTTTGTAGTTTTTAACTAGGTATTCTACCAACGACACTGTTATCATCTTGCTAGATTTTAATTATATATTTATTTAAAATTAACAAAAAATGGCCTTTATGCTTGCCATTATATAGTATCTGCCAGTTAACTAAAAAGTTGCATTACCATCCTAATTTATCAGGACGAATGAGGAAGTATTTAAAAAAAAAAATGTTCCAGAAATCAACCTAGATGTCGCTACAAAACGTTCTCGATTTCTCCATGACAACCCTTCCGGTTTTCTTTAATCTTTTTAAATAAATTAGTTTTCAAAACTCAATAAATAATTTATATTCTATTTGTACTTTTTCGTTTTTGTATTAATATCTAAGTTTAGAACTTTGCAAATTACAATTTTTTAATATGTTAGTTAAAAGGAACGGAAATGACTGTCTTTGGTCCATTCTTTCCTGTAAAAATCAACTTTTGCTAGAGTCGCCATCTAGTGGAGATGCTTTTTTAGTGCTTTTGTTTTTTTTCATTACTTTCTCTTTATGATATGAGGTAGGTACTCCTTCAAATTATTTGTCAATTTATTTGTAAGGCAGTGATGACATAAATATGATCTAATTAGACTAGAGAAATATATTCAAATGATTTTTTATTATTGTTTATAATTTAGAAGAAGTCCTTATTTAATATTTATTGCACCATATTATTGCCTACCTAATGAAGTTGTTTTAGCATGGTAATACTAATAGGTAGATATGCAATGACATCATGTCATTGTCTTGTTATCACCATAGGTAATACGCGCTTACTGCGTTAATTAGTATTTCTTTTAGGTATAAATAATTAAATGTATACCAATATAAACAAACGTTCTTTTAATTAAAAAAATATATATAATATTAAATCATTCTTGTATATTTTTCCTACTTTTCACTTTTTCACCGTCCTCCTTTTTTTGAATCTGAGCGAAACGCGTTGAAAACGCGCGCTCGCTCAATGATAAACAAAACATGCAAGCAAGCGGACACCGCTCAGTTGTCGCGCGCATTTGTCATTCGGAACGCGACCACGCTACAGAAGTGCTAGTGTCGACGCGCGCTCGATTACACACTCGCGAAATTAAAAACAAACCGTTCGTTTTACAAAATTGAGGAAGTTTATCAGTGAAACAAAGATTAAAAGTGGTTTAAATTAGTGCTGGAGGTCGTTTAAGTAGTAACTACTTTTGGTAAATCGAGTGATTGTGTCTTTTCGACAGTGAATAGGTACCTAAATTATGTCATTTGTGTTCGTGAAGGAAATTGCGATGTATTTGCGATAAATATTATGAAAACATGTAGTAATATCATAACATTAGAAAATATAGTATTAAACGAATAGGTAGGTAGGCCTTACTGCAGGTAAATTATTTTTTAAATTTTAAGTCTAGTTGATCTCCATTATTGGATAACAATCATATCTATGAACTTTTTAAAGTTAATACAGTAGCCAGACAAATATATGTACGTATCCTTAGCCAAGGACTAATTTTATCCATTCATATACACTGCTTGCTTCTATGCCGCCTATGTCAATGCTGTTTGTAGCCGCTAATCTTATCAACACCACAGAAAACATCAATAACCAATTTGTTAGGTACTTATTTATCTTCTAATTAAGTTAGGGGACTACTAATATGAATTTGAAAAACCCACTATTTAAATCTATTTACAACGCAACATAACTTAGTTCTGATACCTACAGAAATGAATTAGGAGGCCAATGGCATAGTGTCAAAGATAATCGAGTAGTCAAGTACACATAGTAGGTAGTTGCCTACTTACATCAGGTTACGATAAAGGGGCTTCTAAACTGGCATTTTATTTTTGGAAATCACTGGCTGCAACAGTGGCCATCCAGGTTGTGCATTATTGCAGTTGTACAGCCAAACATATTTGATATTATTTTGAAAAGTTGCCGGACGATCGAAGAATAGGTATTTCTGCGAAGGCCAGGCGATAAGTTAAGGATAGTGCAGCCGCTAATTGTCGAAAAAATTGCCTGTTTAGAAGCCCCTTCTAATATCAATTTTCTGCAATCGTTTCACTGTAGAGAAACCTACCTACTTAACTCATGGTTCTTTTAATGTAAAAAATAATGAGACAAATTAACAGTAATATAATAATTCGTTACCGCTGTTGATTGTACAAATGAAGCTGCTTTCGATTTACGTGCTGTTTAGAATACCTACCTATTTGATGTTCATTCATAAATAAACCCTCATTAAATTACTGATTTAGGAAAAAAAAATATGTTAAGCTACGTAATTAGCTACGTGTTAAGCTTATAGTAGAGCTCGATAGCATACTGTTAAGCGCGTTCGGTCTGCAAAGCGGTCAAGCAACTTTTTAAAAGGTCAGGCACAGGATGGGTGATCAAAATTTATTATCTCGAAAGGAAAGTTAAGACGTTGGTCCCAGCTGCATCTGCAAACGTTATCATCACCCAACCACCTGTTCTGGGCTCGCGTTTATTTGATTCGGCTCCATAGAGAAAGCATATATTATTATTGCTATGGGGACAGTAGACTAATGATAATGAGATTTGAAAGCCGTTCTGATCCTGGGGGCTTACTCTGTTTTTCCATGAAAGAAATTTCGAAATATATTTACAGATTAATTAAAAATATTCGAAAATTATCTGTACATCAGAAGTAGTGTCAGGTTCGCTGTAACATAAATTATCTAAAAATTATTTTTTGGAGTCGTCGTCGACGAAATTTAGATTTAGAAAAAATTTTCGAAAATATAATTTTTGTCTATTTTCGAAATGATTAGCGTTTCGAATACGCTGAAGAAACTAAGTATAGTTTCCGGTTTTTATAGTTGCTGGGATTTCCTGGACAGTTTTAAAGCTGGTTTCCTAAGTTTTTGAAGCAGTGTCATGAGTTTTAAGGCGCCTTCATTATTTATTTTAAAATTCACTCTACAGTTTTGCAGTTTTTAAGGTAGGGCTTGTTTTTTAAACCCTCGTTGAGTGGGAGAGGAAGGATTCTGGATCCAGCCCGCCTGATACAACCCCACAGGACTCGTTTGCACTGTCCCGCAGGACGGGGAGCTTTTTTTTATTGTTTAAACGAAGAAATATTTTCCTATTTTTACTAATATTTACAGATATTCTTGATTTCCTGCATCTATTACAGCGTCTTGTACATAAAGCGGATACACAACTAGATCACACTTTCGAAGTCTCACGTTCTGAAATTTATGTCCAAACTTTGAAGGCAAATGTCGAGATAGGTAGGTATATGAAGAACGAACTTGCTGATAGCACTCAACCTCTTTTTTTACGATACAAAATACGTTACTGCTAATGAAAACACCCTTTGTGGTATTTTGAAACACCTATATCTACAGTGAACTCTGGAGGTACTTCATTCTTATGAGTCACTGTCGCCGTTGACTCAGCGAGAGTGTTTTGAGTTTTCGAGTTTGCTTCTTGAGTTATTGTTCACATATTCGACTTCAGGATTACTGTGTTATTGTAAACCTTAAACCAGTAAACCGGCAAATATCAAACAAATTTAAGTACGCAATTATGGATTATGTTGCAGTATGATTGGGTTTCTAATAGCCTAATCGGAATAAATTGTCATGAAATTGGACAGACTAAAGACTATTCACATTAGATTTACTTGTTCTTTTTTGCTTTAATAGTTTTCCTATTGTTCTCAAGGAACCCAAAATATATATTAAATAAATTAATAACCGTTGAACCTGACTGTATATACAGTCAACAACCACCAATTGGGCTTCATCATCACCATCATCATCATCACTTCAGCCGAGAGACGCCCACTGCTGGGCATAGGCCTCCCCCAAAGATTTCCAAAGCGATCGGTCCTGCGCCTCCCGCATCCAGCGGCTTCCCGCGACCTTTACCAGATCGTCGGTCCACCTTGTGGGGGCCTACCAACACTGCGTCTCCCGGTACGCGGTCGCCACTCCAGGACCTTACCGCCCCAACTGCCGTCAGTCCTGCGAGCGATGTGCCCTGCCCACTGCCACTTGAGGTTCGCAATTCTTTCTTCTGCGGATCTCATCGGTGGTGGGTAAGGCTCGTTGTTCCTATTTATTCCATTTGATTCCATTCATAGGGTAGTCCTATTCACCAGCAGTGAGTAGATACTTATTTACAGGTCATAGAAAAGACATTTCTCTAATCTGTGACCACACACAGTATCTATCATAGCTAAAATTATTATCTAATCTGTGACCATAGATAGATCCATTGTAAAAAGTCATATCAGCCAGCTGTCGTCGTCCATTTCTATCCATTAACGATACCAACCTTACGCGGCCGATGTTGGGTGACGTCATTTGCGTTTACATACCACAAAAGAAAAACATCGTGTCGGAATTTGCAAACATTCTCAAGTTCCTCGTACGACAACTTAATAATGTTTCAAAATTATGACATTTTGTCTTAAAGTAAACATAAATTATGTCGTACTCTGCAATTTCTCATCTTAGGATCGTCTTCTGAGGCGCGACCGCCAAACTCATGGACGTAGCCGTAGTCGCAGCTATAACCTACGCTTTATAGATGTTTCACATGAATCTGTTAATATTGTTTTCAAATCGTTTTTTATTATTTACATATTACAATAAACAAACTAAAATAATGAATCACCAAATAAAAATATTGAATCTTTTCACTTCTTAAGCATTTAGTTTATCAGCATAGGAATTTGCTACCCCATTGTTAGAGATGGTCCAAGCATACGTGACTATTCAAGCGATAACGCTAAGCATTAATAGTACCCGCTATTTGTTTTCTTTCGCTAATTGGCTAACTCATATCGTTCTTGACGCATCATTTGTTTAACAAATACAATGTAGTTAGTAGATTCATTCTGTCGAACTCTTGTAAGTTTAGAAATGTCAATTACGTCTTTTGAGGCTATTATTCAATGTGAGTATGTGTTAAATTGATTTTGAAGCTTTATACACATCCCCCAGTGACGTATCAATGCAGTTTTAGTTAGTTAAAATATAAAAATTCAGTATTTAGTTAAAATATAGATTTCAAAACCAACTTCTCGAACACTATATCAAATTTAATTGGCAATGATCTGGAAGACATTTTTTATTTAGTATTAGTATAGTTATTATTTTAAGACATAGTTTAGATAAGTAGTTTTAATTTATTATCCTCAAAATGTCTAAATTAAAAAAATATACCAAATGTGCGTAATATATTCCTATGTTTCGGTATCTATATTTTGATGTAGCATTAAGCAATTTTAGATGATCATTTAAATCAAATTGGTATGCTGAAAAAATTAAAATATTACTAATAATTTTAACATAGTAACAGATGCTATTATTACTCATTTCAGTTGCATTTCTGTGTGAAAAATTTTCATAAGACTATAATAAATCTACCTGTAAACGATAATTTGTATACGTTATTTTTTATTATTATAATCTTGGTATGTTAGTGTTTCATCTACCTACTTAGGTTTACTATGCTAATGTAACTATGCCAAAATATTTACATGTTTAAGAGGCGGCGAAAAATGTTTACTTTTGCAAAATGAACATAAAATAAACAAGCGTCTCTCATCACATATTTGCCGCGTTAAATAAGGCATCTTTATTTTTTAACATAAATAAGGCATTAGCTTTCGCACAGAACTAATCTCACGACTAACGTCACATCCTGGCTTAAATACAGACTAGAATTGGTTTCACTTGGAACATAAGAGTGTATTTCGAGTGTCATTATTATTATTTTTTAATTAACCACGCTGCTAAACTTGTGCTGTTGTAGCCAGCAGTATCTTACATACTGAATCGGAGATCCTCTGTGATCCTGATCCTCTATTTCATCATAAATGAGTACACTGCGAGAGCTCGACTTCTAGCGACTTGCTTCAACTCTCTCAACTGACTTATTACAACCTCATTTGTCGTCCACTTCCTAAAATTCTTATATACCTTTAGAATTCACAATTTTAATGGGGATGCTCTTATTGTTTGAATTTTAATCATCAATCTATTTACTATATATTTACACTAGGACAGTCCGACTTGTAATCTCACCTGCATAACTCTCTCAATCGGTATACTCTAAAGACCTAATTGGGATCCACTAACAGGAAATCCATTTCTATCACAAACGAGTGCTAATTAGTCACTTACTGAAGTACATATTCTGTAGCTTTATATGTTTGCATACATGTCT